CCCCCCCGCCGCGCGTCCGCGCCCCGCGATTCCCGAAGCCGAGGAGGGAGCAAGGCGGTGGCTCCGCTGGGCTCCGGGCTGGGCCGGGCGCGGGGCCGGAGCGGCGGATCGCGCGGAGGACGGTGGTCTGGGCCCGGCGAGCCATGGCGGCCCCGGAGCCCGTGCCGAGGCGGGGCCGGGAGCGCGAGCGGGAGGACGAGAGCGAGGACGAGAGCGACATCCTGGAGGAGAGCCCGTGCGGCCGCTGGCAGAAGCGGCGGGAGCAGGTGAGCTCGAGCTGGGGGTGAAGCCGCCGTCGCGTAGCCGAGAGGCTGGAGGCTGCGGGGGCCGGGGGCGCTGGGCAGCCTGGCGGCCTCCCAGGGGGCCTGCGTCTCGGCTGGCCCTCGGACCCCTTGGGCCCCACGCCCTGGCGAGAAGCCCCCACTCCCGAGCACCAGTGTCCCCCCGGGAGCACCTCCACGTGCCCCTTGGATCCCCTTCTACCCTCTCCAAAGTCTGCCCCGGGACAGCCTTTCCCCCAGCTCTCCCACGGAGCGGGTGAGGACTGGCAGCGCACTCCTGGCTGGGGGAAGGGTTATGGCAGAGCTCGTGTTGGCACCCTGGCCCCTACTCGAAGCAGGACACACATCTTCCCCACCCAGGTAAACCAAGGGAATATGCCAGGGATCCAGAGCACCTTCCTGGCCATGGACACAGAGGAGGGGGTAGAAGTGGTATGGAACGAGCTCCACTTCGGGGACAGGAAGGCCTTTTCAGCCCATGAGGTGAGGCCGGTCGTTCTCCCCCCGCTGCCCCCCGCCCCCGGCTTCGCCCCATCCGGTGACTACCCTATGACCCACCCCCTTCCCCAGGAGAAGATCCAGACGATGTTTGAGCAGCTGGCACTGGTGGACCACCCCAACATCGTCAAACTGCACAAGTACTGGCTGGACGCCTCTGAGGCCCGCGCCAGGGTGAGCCAGGGGTGGGTGCAGGGCGGAGTGGAGCCACAGGCTGGGTGGGGCGGCGTGGGGGACCCACCCGCAATGGCGGAGCCCGCCCGCCCGCAGGTCATCTTCATCACAGAGTACGTGTCATCGGGCAGCCTCAAGCAGTTCCTCAAAAAGACCAAGAAGAACCACAAGGCCATGAACGCTCGGGTATGGGAGTGTACAGGGGACAGGAGGAGGTCTGGGAGGAGTAAGAGCCGGGAGTGGGGACAGGACTCCTGGAGACCTCGGGACAGAAGTGGGGAGGAGGGTGGGCTCCGCAGGCGCAGCTGCCTGTCGGTGCCCATCCGACGGAGTCGTGCGTCCGCCGCCAGGCCTGGAAGCGCTGGTGTACCCAGATCCTGTCCGCACTCAGGTGAGGGCGCACTCAGGTGAGGGCCTGGGCTTGCCCGCCCGCTTGCCCCCTGCGCGCGACCAGCCTCTGACCCGGCTCCTCCTGTCCCCCTTCCTCTGTGCCTGCAGTTTTCTGCACGCCTGCAGCCCCCCCATCATCCACGGGAACCTGACCAGCGACACCATCTTCATCCAGCACAACGGCCTCATCAAGATTGGCTCCGGTGCTGGCGGGGCGGGGCTGGGCAGGGGGCTGGGCTGGGGAACCCGCGGGAGCCCAGGGCAGAGAACGCCCAGCGAGCCACCCGCTGACGTCCACTCTTTCTCCCGGTGTTGGCCGACGCAGTGTGGTACCGCATCTTCTCCAATGGTGTGTGGGGCCTTCTGGGGTGTGTGGGGCAGTTGAGAAGCCGGTCTGCTGAGCCCCACGCTCTTCCGTAGCGCTTCCGGATGATCTCCGGAGCCCCATCCGCGCAGAACGAGAGGAACTTCGAAACCTCCACTTCTTCCCACCAGAGTATGGCGGTGAGTCCCGAAGGAGCCCTGGGGCACCTGCCCTGCTTGGATCAGACTGACCTACCCTGCCCTTTTCTCTCCCTTTTAGAAGTTAATGATGGGACTGCTGTGGACATCTTCTCCTTTGGGATGTGTGCACTGGAGGTAACATCCTGGACATGCCTCCTAGCCCCTCCTCCACTGTGTCCCACTACATCTCACCACTTCCAACCTACCTGCACACAGATGGCTGTACTGGAGATCCAAGCCAATGGGGATACCCGAGTCACAGAAGAGGCCATTGCTCAAGCCAGGCACTCACTGAGTGACCCCAACATGCGGGTGAGTAGCTCTCCAGTGTAACCTGGTCAGTACAGCTGAGGGTGTACCTGCTGCCGCACCAAGCCCTACCTGAAAGACCCCACTGGGACCTTGCAGATTCCATGCTGTGAGTGGAAGTAGAGCATGAGTGTTCTAAGCCCAGGGTCTGCCTGTCCACAGGCTCACAGACCCTAAACTTCTGATGGGATGCCTTCTTGTCTGTGCATCCCTACAGGAAGGTCCCTGTCACTTCACTGAGGAGGGAGGATGTATGTGGTGATTGAACCCTTGGGGTCTGGAGTCTCCTCTAGAGCAAGGAGCTTCCATTCTCTACCTGCCTTTCCTGTCCACAACCCAGGAGTTCATCCTATCATGCCTGGCCCGGGACCCTGCTCGCCGACCCTCTGCTCACAACCTCCTCTTCCACCGCGTGCTCTTCGAGGTGCACTCACTGAAGCTGCTGGCAGCCCATTGCTTCATCCAGCACCAGTGTGAGGGGCAGACATGCTGGGGTGGGCCAGGAGCCTGGGGTCAGAACATGGAAGGGTCTTGGAAGGACCCTTACTTAGCTTGGGCCCACCTCCCTGAGCATATTTGTGGTCTACAGACCTCATGCCTGAAAATGTGGTGGAGGAAAAGACCAAGGCAATGGACCTGCATGCAGTCTTGGCAGAGATGCCCCAGCCCCATGGACCCCCCATGCAGTGGCGGTGAGCGGTGGCCACTTGAGGCTTCCCCTCCTAGATGCCTGGCTAGTCTTTGTCCTACCCAACCTTCATGTACCTCCTGCCCCATACCAGGTACTCAGAGGTCTCCTTCTTAGAGCTGGACAAATTTCTCGAGGATGTCAGGTGAGAACTGGCATGAGACTAAGGAATAAGCACTGTCAGGCCCTAGCCCCCAGCTATTCTCTTGGTGTATCCCCAGGAATGGGATCTATCCACTGATGAATTTTGCGGCTGCTCGGCCCCTGGGGCTTCCCCGTGTGCTGGCTCCACCCCCGGAGGAGGTCCAGAAGGCCAAGACCCCAACACCAGAACCCTTTGACTCAGAGACGAGGAAGGCGAGTCCTCATAGCTATTAGGCTGTGCTGTCCCTCTGAGCTGTCCACAACTAGATAATGGGTGGCCTTCTCTTGGGAGGGGGGAGGCTGTGTCTCCCCAGCCCAGCTCTCCTTCAGGCTGCTGGAGACCAAATCCAAGCTGATCCCTTTGTGGGGACTTTGAGACTGTAGATCAGACTGGGACACTCATCTTTCCTAAAGGCTTCTTGCCTCTGTAGTCCTTCCCCCATCCTGCTGCATGGTTCATCCCTCTACTCCAGACAGGCTTCCTCAGAATCTCATCCACCCCAACCCTCAGAGTCATTGACACCTTGTGTCCTGGGTTTTTCCCCCAAGGCCTCCAGGCACCCCTATCCTCAAACCCTCCTGCCTGGCAGCTGCTCCTGATGATGTCTACCCCCGGTGGGCTCCAAAGGCTTTGGACAGCTCCATTCCTCATCTGGTCTTCCTCCTGGCTTCCATGCTTCCACAGTGCACCATGAGTTTGCATCCCAGCAGTCAAAGTAGCCTGGCTTCTGGCTGCCCAGAGAGCTGATGGGAGTTCTCAGCCTGAGCCCTAGTCTCTCGTGGCCTGCTCCTGCTGGCGCCTTACCCTTCTCTGCTGTCACATTCCCGGACACAACTCTCCCTGCTTCCCACAGTTCCCTTTTCAAAGCATTCTATTTATCATCCATCAGAATCCAGGCCCAGTGCCTACTCCTGGAAGCTTTCCCTTACACCAAAGGACTGGTGCAGTAAGATGTGCTTTCTGGACTTCCTTGGAGATGTGTCCCATTTTTCCAGTCTCTACTGGTCCTGAGCTCCTTTGCTGAGTTCCACTCTGGGTAATATGGCTTCCCTGTGCCTAGGTGGTCCAGATGCAGTGCAACTTGGAGAGAAGTGAGGACAAGGCTCGCTGGCATGTGAGCAGGGCCCTGGGCGGGGCTAGGGAAGATGGGGCGGAGCCTGTTCTGGCGCCGCCCTGACCACGCCCTCCTGTCCGCAGCTCACGCTGCTTTTGGTGCTGGAGGACCGGCTGCACCGGCAGCTGACCTATGACCTGCTCCCAAGTAGGCTAGTAGGGGACCAGGAGGCGGGCTGGGGCTCGGGCGCTGGCTGGTGTCACAAGCTCACCTGTCGTCCCACGTCCTCGCTTCAGCCGACAACGCCCAGGACCTCGCCGCTGAGCTAGTGCACTACGGCTTTCTGCACGAGGTGGGAGGCGTTCGCAGCGCGTTTGGAAAGGTGCAGAGGGGTGCCTCGCTGCTCAGTACTCATGCCTCCTTACCCTGCAGGACGACCGGACAAAGCTAGCGGCCTTCTTGGAGACAACCTTCCTCAAGTACCGTGGGGCCCAGGCTTGACCTTCCCAGTCCTGGAGGCCCAGCTGGGATACCAGGGCTAAGGGATGTCCACTTGGGGAAGAGCTCCACACTGCTCAGAGCTGCCTTCCAAGCTTGTATTTCTGGGAGCTGATGAACAAGTGCCCTGCTAGTGAGGACCCCAGCCTCTTGCAGCAGTGTGGGATACTGGGGTGGTAATGTAACCTTGAGCCCTTCATGGGCCCAGGGAGCCTGGGTGGGAGTGGAGGGAACAGGTCAGCTAGGGGAACCATCTAGTGAGGGACAGCTGTCAACCTCTGTTGGCATAGAAGACCTAGGCAGGGAGTCTAGACTCAAAAGCAATAGAGCCCCTGTAGGTGCCAAAGACAATACTGGGCACCTGGCAGGCCAGTCCTAGCTGGAGGACCAGAGGCTAGAGAGCCTGGAGTTGATCCCATGGCCAGCCAAACCCCTGATCCCATGAAGATCAGCCCTGAGCCCTCTCTGACCTTCCGTGCACTTGAGATCAGGACCTGCATCCTCCCCAGGGCTCTCCAACAGGATGCTTTTCTTCTGCATTCCCTGGCCTGGGGCTCAGAAGTCAGACATCTTCTGCACCTCCTCCTGGGGCAGCTGCATATTGGGGCCCTGAGGATGAGGGCTCCTGGCTTCCTGTTTCTCCCCTGCCCAACTCCACTAACTCTTACAGGTTTCAGTGTCCCAGTGGATTCTGCCTCACCACCCTTTCTTGGTTCTCGAACTGCCCATCTTCCAACTTCAAATTTAAATAGTCCTAAACATTTTAAATTATATGTATAAATTCACTGCATTCAAGCTTCTTTTTAAGCATTTCAAATGTGCAATCAAGAAAGCTTGCTACTGCATTAATAGTTGCCAATTGCTCCTATGACACAAACCTAGTGGCTTGAGACAACACTAATATATTACGGTTCTGTGGGTTGGAAGTTTGATACAGGCTTTCACTAGACGTCAGTGGGCCGCATTCCTTTCTGGAAGTGGAGGACCACCCCCTGCTCATTCAAGCTATTGGCAGAATTCACTTCCTTGCAGTGATAGAGCAGACGTCCTGCCTCTCTCAGTGAGAGCCCTTCTCAGCTTCTAGAGGCCACCAGCCTTCCCCGGCTCTCCTTCCTCCACCTTCAAGACCAGCCACAACAGGCTGAATCTTTGTCACAGACCAGACCAGCTGTCTTGTTTTTCTGTGATTAGCTGGACCCGCCTAGATAATCTGGAGTAATAGCTCTCTCCAGGCCTCTAGATTAACCACACCTGTACAGTATCATTTGCTGTGGAGACTAATCTTCCTGGGTTCTAGTAGTTTGAGAGTGGGCCCAGGGTGAGGGTGGGATATGGTACCTGCTGTACCACCAAAACAAAGACCAAAAACTAGGACAAAGCAAACTTGCCAAGGGACATCTAATCAATTGAATGAACACCTGTAGGGAATCTCAAGTAATCTGAAACATTCCAGTACTATTTTCAGGTTTTCAAGTTCTCTTACCTTTCAACTAGAAATTGCAAATACCAAATAACTTTCTAGGCTGCTAAGCTGATTATGTGCATGGTCTTATATGGTTTATGTGGCAGATTGTACCTGATTAAACTGAACTTGAAAGGATAAGTGCTGTGTTTAAGCCGGCCTCTGTTAAGCTTATCTCTTCAGAGTGAGGTGCATAGTACATATATTGTTTTGTTTATTTTGGCGTGGAACTCACTATCCAGACTGGGGTTGTGCTGGAATTGTGTGAGCCACCAAGCCTGACTATCAAAGTGGAACTGTTGGTGGTGTGTGTACATGCGTGCGCGAGATGATATGGGGGGCAATGCAATAGCAAATAATACAGTCTTCTGTGTTGATCTTCCCAAATTCAAATCACTTAGGTTCAAAAACTTAGAATCTGTGTTTCTTAAAACCACAAACATGCTTTTAGTTCTGTTCATTGGTTTCTCTACCTCAGGGATCCTCAAGTGGTGACCTCTGGGGGTAGCCCCTAGTGACGGGCTGAGATGCCCGAGTTTTACTACAGCTCCGTTACTGTAGGCCTCAGCAGGGGACAAGGTGTCCGAGATTACATTTTCTTTCTTGCACAACTTTTTGTTTTCTCCTGGAGTTAATAATTTTCTTTTTTGCTTAGGTTTCTTTTACGTTCATTTTGTGTGTGCACAGGCAAAGTCAGATGACAGCTTATAGGAATTGGTTTTCTCTTTCTACCAGGTGGGCTCCAATGACTGAACCTAGGGCAGAGGTTTGGTGCAGACAAGCACCCTTACCCCTGGAGCCATCTCGACAGCTCTTGTTTAGTTTTTCTGCATGTGTCTGCTGTTTGGGTCTCTTAGTACTTGGGACGCCTATCTCTTCTTTTCCTGGAGCCACACCACATGGTCCTGTGCCCCTGGCTGCTTGTCCTTGTATTGTGATCCAGCTGTCAGCCTGGGCTGTCCTGCAGCATGTAGCTTGCCCTGCTCTTGATCCCATGCAGCCTTCCCTCATTGACATCATTTGAGAAGGAATATCCTTCAAGCTGCCAGACATATATGGGACATTTTGAAGTCTTTGCCCGTTCTTATTCTAATCTCACACATGTTGAAAAGTGTATCTAGGTACAAGAAGGTTGGCTTAGTTGAAAATGATTTCTCTTCAGGACATTGTAAGGGTGTCATGTTACGTTCTAGTTCCAAGAACTGCATGCCTCTGAATTCTTTTTGTGTTAGCTCTTCTATCTTTCCTGATCTTTTCTTCATCCTCAATGCTTTGGAAATTTTTAGTGATTCATCAATTGTAAAAAATAAAATGAAAAAAGAAAAATATTTCTTGATTTATATTTCCTGAATAAGTCAGGATATTGGATTTGTGTTTTCTGTTACTTTTATTTTCTGGTTTTTTTATTTTTTATTTTTTTGGTCTTTTTGGGACACAGTCTCCCTGTAGCCCCAGCTGTCCTGGAACTCACTATGTAGACCAGGCTGGCCTTGAACTCACAGAGATCCGCCTGCCTCTGCCTCCCAAATGCTGGGATTAAAGGCATGAGCCACTACACCCGGCTGTTTTTTTTTTTTTTTAATTGTGTGTGTGTACCCTCTCCTTCCAACATGTGGGTTCTGGGAATCAGATCAAACTCAGGTCATCAGGCTTGGCAGCAAGTGCCCTTACCCACTGAGCCACCTTGGCTGCCCTGGATTTGTGTTTTGGGAAGTGTAATTGTGGGTAAGAGCTGGGCTCTCGAGTGGATCTGCTGCTCCCTGTGGTGACATGGGCTGTGTCTGTTCCTCTTCACCCAGTGTAGTGGAGCTGTTGTAAGGGTGGCATGAGCTCCTCTGAGAATTAAGGATAGTACCTGGCTTCAGCATTCTGTCACTATCAATGAAGCTGCCACCAGAGGTGGTGCCTGGTGCTCCCCCTGGTGGTAGTGATGAGACCCAACCCACTCACCCCCTCAGTGGTGCCCTCATCTGCACTCTTTCTAAACTCTGGAGAATACCAACCTGTATAATCATTAGTTTCTGTTTTCTAGTGATCTGTTTTGGCTATGTATTCTGGGAGGTTTCAACTTTATTTTTTAAGCCTTTTAATTTCTCATTTTCCTCTCAAATATTCCATTTGGAATTAATCTCATTTGATACATGCTCTCTGTGGTCTTGTTTTTGGGATGCAACATCTTAGATTTTTTTTAATTATTATTTGATGAGTATGAGTGTATTAATAGCCTGCATGTGTGTAAGTGCACCTGTGTTGTGCAATGCCCGAGGAGGTCAGAAGAGGGGTTCAGATCCCCTGGAACTGGAGTTACAGACAGCCACCACATAGTTGCTGTCCAGGTCCTCTGCAAGAGCAGCCAAAGCTCTTAACCGCTGAGTCATCTCTCCTGTCCCCATCTAGGATATATTTGATGATGTTTCTTTAACTCTCTGTTCTCATTTCTCTGTTTCCTTTATTGCCTTTGTTCTTTCTGTGTTTTATCTCATCATCTTGTGCTGGCTGTCCAGTTGTACTTAAGAGTGAGATGCTGTTTGTGGATGAGATTTAGCACCTGGTGAGCTTGGTGCCAAGAGTCTGGCTGGGTCCTTCTACTATGCACCCTTGATTGCTAGTTTGTTGTTTTTGTTTTTATTCAATTTTTTTTTTGTTTTTGGTTTTTTGAGGCAGGGTCACCCTGTAGCCCCAGCTGGCCTAGAACTCCCTACGTAGACCAGGCTGGCCTCAATGCCATCTCACAAAGATCTGCCTCCTGAGTGCTAGGATTAAAGTCATGTGCCACAATGCCCAGCAAGGACCTTGAGGAACTTTTGATCTTCCTCCCTTTACATCCAGAGTGCAGAGATTACAGGCATGTCTGGTTATACAGTGCTGGGAATCAAACCCTCATGAATGCAAGAAAAGCAGTCTACCAACTGAGCCGTATCTTCAACCTGCTTTTGAGCTGGCTGCTGCTGCTACAGAAGGACCTCTTCTGGAGGAGCCCAGGTGGTACAAGTGGGAGGCCAGACTGGGGGCAGGTCTGATGGGAATGGAAGAGGTAGCAGTCTCACTTCCCCACGGCTGGAACAGAGCCAGGCTTCAGTGGCGCTAACTCGAAGCCACTGTGGGCAGAGCCGTACACCACACGGTAGGAACAGAGATCAGGAGACTGCTTTTCCTAGCTGTGTGTTCCAGAGAATCCCAAACACAACCACCACAGCCCAGTCAGATAAGACAGCTCCACTGTCCATGCCCCATCATCCCCGCCCCCCATCATTCGCCTCTCAGCCCGCTTGGGCTTTGCCTTCATAAAGTTCCTTTCCTGTGGTATTAGGGGCTTCAATGGGAGGAAAATACTCTGCCATATATAGAGGTCTCTATATTAAATCCTAAAAACATCCAGGGTTGAAAAGACCCTGTGGCGCAAGCCTTTAATCCCAGCACTCCGGAGGCCGAGGCAGGCAGATTGCTGCGAGTTCAAGGCCAGACTGATCTACATAGGGAGTTCCAGGCCAGCTGTTCTCAAAAAGACCAAAAAAGAAAAAAATGCTTATCCCAGGGAAGGCGCCTGAGCTTAGATGAGGTCTCTTGTGGGCAGGTGACTGGGTTAGGGTCTTGGGACTGGGTGCTCATGACAAAGGTCAGGGCAGCTCCTCATACACCGACAGGTGAACACACTGGGCCTTTAAGCATAGCTCAGAGCCTGGGGACCAGCGTGGGCACTGAACCCACAGAGTGTTCTCAAGGGGCTGGCTGCGGAGCCACCTCCTGCTGCCTGCGTATCTGTTGAGACAGTAGCCCCAGTTGGCCTGGAGATCCGCCTGCCTCTACCTCCCTCCCCCCTCAGTGCTGGGATAAAAGGCGTGTTATCTGTCCTAAGAGGCATGGCTCTCATTAGGAAAGAGAACATGGTTCCAATCAACCGCGGACTTTAGAGCTGGACGATGCGAAGACGGGGCATCAAGCCCCTCGGGGCCTGTCCAGCTGTCTACGCTGAGCCGAGGGTCCACTGTTCCCCTCCGGCCTCCCCCGGCCAGGTCTCCGCCCAGCCCCGCCCCGTTGGGGGCGTGTCCCCGCCCGGCCGGCCACGGAAGTGCGTCCTTTTCTCCTTCCACGTAGCAGGGGAACGCCTTATATCGCGAGATTTCTGCGGCTGGTGCCCAGATCGCGCGAGACTGTGAAAGGAGCTGGAGTGTGTGGCGCGCGCGGCGGCCGCGACGGATGCAAGATGGCGACGGCGACCATAGCTCTCGTAAGTGAGCCCCACGGCCGTCCGCTGGCCGGAGCGGTTGGTCGGCCGGGCCTGGGTGCGGAGGGCCCCCAGGTGCTCAGCCGCCTGCACTGGCCTTCCTGGGGTCCGCAGAGCGGGGGCGGAGCGGGGCAGGGCGGGCGCGCGCAGCCGGCGGAGTCGCGGTCGCAGCATCCGGTGCGGGTACTCCAGCTTCCGGCAGCCGGGCGGGGCGGGGCGAGACGGGGCGGGCGGGAAAGGGTCCCGGCGGGGCGGTCCTGCCTGCAGACCGGGTGGGCGTCCGCAGTGGGGTCCGGGTGGAGGACGGGAGGTCCGTGGCCCTTTCTGTCCTCGGTGCTGCACCGGCAGCGGGGTCCGCTCCTGGCGCCTGCCCTCGGGCTTTGCTGGGGAGCCGGGTCGCGTTCATGCCTACCGTGGTCGGGCCCCATAGGGGTGTTCCCACTCCCGTGCCTGCTGGACACGCGTGGGAGCGGCGGTGCTCAGTGTGGTGTGAGCACCTGGAGGGGCAGCCACTGCAGTCCATCAGTTAGCCACATCCTCCACGGCCCTCATCCAGGGAGATGGGGTCGGGTCTTGTAGTTCACGCAGGCAGGCAGGCAGGGAGGGTCAGATAACCCACCAGGCTGCCATTGCGCTGAGCTGGGAGCTGCTCCCTCCCTAATCGGGAGAGGAGCCCTTGTACGAAACGCCCTAGTTTGTGAAGGGTAGTGTGTGACGCTCACATCGTGGATAATTTTTTTTTTAACCTTTTTTTTTTTTTTTTTTTTTTTTTTTTTATCATGCTCTGCTGCTTGAAGCCACAGGAGCAAATGGTGTTTGTGAGGAGACAGCTGCAGAGTTGCGGGCTTGGTGGCTGTCAGATGGTGGAAAGGAGGGAGAAAAACTATGAGATGTCTTGGACAGAATTAAAGGAGGT